TTCTTTCATCCTCATCTTCAGATGGATCTGACTGATGTTTTGGGCTGTCCATTTGAAGGAATGCTCTAACATCTGGACTAAAAACAAAAATTAACTTTATTATGATATAAAATATGTACAGCTTTGCTCCCTTTTAAAAGCAAAAGCCAAAATATTGTTACCCACAATATTTGCAGTAAAAAAAGCTAACCAAAATGCATTACTGTTATTTTAAAAGAAATAAAATTATTTTTTTAAACAACAAGGAACCAAACAAAATATAGACAAAAGGTATAATAAACAGGCAGTTGATAGGAGAGAAATCCAAATAGCAAGTAAATTTGTGAAGATGCTAACTTCACTGGCAATCAGAGAAATGCAAATTAAACTGACAATGAGTTACCACTTTATGTCCATTAAATGGCAAAAGCTTTAAATATCAAAAAGATAGTAAGGATATAGGAAAAAAAAAAAAGAAATCCTCATATGTTGCTGGTGAGAATGCAGAATTAAATGGCTTTTCTAAAATGTAATCTGGAAATTTTTATGTAAACTGTGTATACATTTTTCCCCCGGACCTCAAAATTCCAAATCTACAAACCACCAAAAAAAATATGCACAGCTGTAATGAAAGGCATGTTACCAGGCCACCTGCAGCATCCTATAGCAGTATATTGGAAACAAAACAGAAAATTACAACCAGATAAATTAGTCAAGTATGGATGACTAGCATACCTATACAGAATACCAGTCAGTAGCCAGAAAATGGAACAGTCATAGCACCACACCATTTATGTATTAAATAAAGGCAAAACAGTCTGTTTCAAAGATACAGAGATATCAAGTACTCAACCATATTAAAATAGGTATCCACAGTAGAAAGAGAAAAATGAGTACAAAGATACAAGATGAAAAGAACAGAATAAAAATGGACTAAAATTGAAAAGGATATGTATAGACTAATGACAATCCTGAGGAATGGTTAATCTGGTATAAGTGGCACTTCTATACTGAATTATTCTAAATATTTCAATGCAAATAATACAAATAGTAGAAAAATTGAAAGACGAAAAATTAAATTTTCACAGGGCCAGTGAGATAGCTCAGTGGACTAAGCACCTGCTTAGGCAAGCGCAGGGACCAGGATACTGTGCCAGCCCCGCCCCCAGGGCACACTGAGCTGGCCACCAAGACAGGCAGTGGTGGCGCATGCCTATAATCTCAGCCCTGGAGAGGCTGAAAACAGGAAGATCACTACAAGTCCGACCTGCATAGTGAGAAACTGTACCAAATAGATAAAAAGAATTTTTTTTTCTTAAGAGAGAGGGCTGGTGTGCATGTAAAATACTGCAGGCACTAGAAAACTTTGGCAGTTTTCTAAAACTAAACATAGAGTTACTGTATAATATAGTAGCTCCACTTCTAAGTATAAACTGAGGAGAAACAAAAATATAGTCACACAAAAACCCATCCATGAAATAAGCATAACAGAATTATTCAAAATAGCTAAAGAGTAGAAACATCCCAAATGTCCTTGGTTGATAAGCAGATAAACTAAATGTGATATATTAATACAATATTAATATAATTAAACAATATAATATTCAGGCAAAATAAAATAGATGTTAACAGCATGAGTGAGCATCAAAAATATAATTAAATGAACAAAAGAAAACCAGTCGCACCTTATATAACTTCATTTTAAATATAATGTCCAGAACAAGCAAGCTTTAGAGACTGACAGACCAGTGGTTGCTAGGCACTGGAGGAAGAAGAGAATTTGGAGGTACCATTTCTTTTTGGGGATGTTACAAATGCTAAATGAAACTTGGGAGATAAGAGGCCGGCAAGATAGCTCAGCGTACTACAGTGCCTGCTTAGGCAGGGTGCAGCAGCAGGGTTCAATCCCTGCTGTGCCACGCTGGTCCCCCTCCTGGGGCATGACTGGGCATGGTGGCGCACGACTATAATCCCAGAACTTGGGAGGCTGAAAACAGGAGAATCACTCCGGGTCCGATCTGTGTACTGAGACCCTGCAGACCCTGTACTAAATACATTAAAAAATAAATAAAAATAAATAAACTTGGGAGATAAAATTACATAGTAATGATGAGTGCACAGCAATGTGAATATACCAAAAAACAATGAACTGTCACTTTCCAACTTTTAACTACATAACTTTCATGAGAACTGTTAATCTTTGCATGTAAGAGTACAACTAACTGCATTTATGATTTTCAGGATAGATTTTTAAAATTACTTGGTCTGAATTATAAACCATTTTATATACTCAGAACAGTTAGGCTAGATATACAGCTGCATTCTCTTAATTCAACGAATAGAGAGGTTTGTTCTAATAGTGTTTGGACAGGATATCATGTCTGCATCTTGTACAATGAATAACCACTAAGACAACAATATGCAATGTATTAATTATTGAAAATGTGCTAATAATCGGTTGTGAAACTATCTCATTGCTATTTCTCAATAAAATTTTTTAAAAAATGAATTATAAACCATTTTAAAGCTTCACACACAGCCTGTTTAAACTGATTTATAGAAAAGCTATACCAATTTATGTATACGAAGACTTTTCTAGACTTAAATAGCATTAAATGCTAATAATGATATAAATAACTTTATATTAATAACTCTGATCAACTGTATCAGTAATTAGTAAAGCACAAATTAAAGCAACAATAAGAAGCTGGGTTTGGTGGCACACACTTGTAATCCCAGCACTCAGAAGGCTGAGGTATAAGGTGCTGTGAGTTCACAGCCAGCCTCAATGCTAGCCTGGACTACATAGGATTCCTCAAAAAGCAAAACAAAACGAAACAGAAAACAACACCCACAACAAAACAATAAACCACTGCTCATTCATCTGAATAGCTAAAATTGTAACACTAACAACACTGAGTGGTTGGTGAAACAATGTGGATTCACACTGATAATGGAAATACAACCTTCAGTAATCATTTTAGAAAACAATTTGGTAGGATCCACTAGGATTACATATCCTACCACCTAGAAACTTCAGAAGCATATCCAATTGTTCATAAAAAAGTTTATGTTGGTTTTAGTAGTATCCATAATAACTAGATACTCTTTGAAAGATGATCCTGGAAATGTTAAATATTCTAGTATTACGCTAACCAAGACTGGAAGAGCTTTCAGAATGTTCGTACAATGCCAGCAGAATATAAACTGGCATACCCTTCCTAGAAATCAGTTTTAACACACTGCGTTTGAAGGCTTAAAATAATTCAGACCAAGTAATTTTAATTTTTAAAAATCTCTCCTGAAAATCAAGTATGCAATTCAAGTGCTACACATCGATTCTTTGAACTTCAAATGAAGAGCATGAAAGTCAAAGTTCATTCAAATGTCTCTCAGCAGTAGAATGGAATAAACTGTGGTAAAGTCACTGCTGGGACAAAATACCCAGCACCCACAAAACAGGATTATTTTGGCTCATGGTTTCAGAGGTTTCAGTCTCTGTTCTTTGTGTAAGAAAGGCTATGGCAGAAAACAGTGAAGCAAAGCTGCTCAGTTCCCGGCAGCCAGTAGCAGAGTGAGGGAACAGTACCAGAAAGGAAAGGAGTGGGAAGCAGACACAGCTCTCAAAGCCACACACCCATGATCAACTTAGACAACCAGAAACATGCTCTACTAATCTGCTAGGTGTCTCTCAATCTTGTCAAGATGACAAACCCAACAGTCATAACTCCATATGAAGCTGAAAAATGGCATGTTTGTTAAAATCAGAAGAGTTACCTTTCGAAAGGAAAAGACACAGAGGTTGTGTAAAGATGTGTGAGGGGCTCAGGGATCTGAGTATGTCAATGTCTGCTTCTTGGCCTGGGGAAGTGGGTGATAAGTCTACTGCTCTTCTTATAACTCACTGAGCTGTGCAGTCACAATATGGGTACTGCTGCGCACTGACCAGATGGAGAAGATGCTTAAAAATCTCTGCAAGACCAACTAAATGTATTTGAGAAGGTATGCAGGAAGCTGAGGCTTGAGTACACCTTTCCCTCAGACCTCCAAAAAGCCCACCACTTCTTGGCCAAGAAGGCTCTGTGCGTCTGGGTTTTCCAGAAGGTACAAAAACTGAAGAAGCAGAAAAGGGGCTTAATAGCTGCAGCAGGAGCAGCAGCAAAAGCATCCCACAAACAAGATGGCCATCAGGACCTAGAGGACCCTTCCCAGGCCTATGCAGAGGCACTGGAAGAAAATCAATAAAGTGTGTAAAAATGCTTCGGAAAAAAAAAAAAAAAAAAAAAGAGTTGGAGTGAAGAAACAGAGGATTAAAAAAAAAATTAAATGTGCATGTATATGTATCGACTCCACACACAGAATGTAAACATGGACTGCAAACAGTATAAAAGAAAAAGGGAAGACGATCCTTTTTGGGGAAGGAAGGGAAGAAAAAGGCAATGTAAAAAAGGAATTAGGATATATTAGTTATAGTACCAACTCCTGTACCAAAAAGTATAAATATCATGAACATGTACTAATGAAAAATAAAAACAAAAAATAGCATTTCACAGAAAGGATAAATTTATACTAAACTTATTCAATATTCTTATATTTGGCTTCACAATATTTTAAGATTTAGACTACAACAAAAATTACTTACTGGTTGTACAGTTCGGGATACCTAACTAAGTTCTGAATGAATTCATTCAGTCCTGCTCTTCTTTGTTTAATAAAATCTGTAAGAAAGGATGTAAACTATTAGTATTATTTGTCAGCCAATATAATTTTCTTCCAAACCTTTACATAAGCATATTCAAACAAAAGTTATTCTATTATAATTAAGTATTTCTTAATTCATGCTCCTTGGCATATAAAGAATACTGCAATATATAAATATAGATAGGTTAGAAATTTAAATAAAGCAAATGTATTACCCCAAAGAAAATTCTATAAAGCTACCTACTTTAGCTAAGCACATTGGTACACACCTATTATACCAGCTACTTGGGAGGTTGTAGGACCACAAGTCTGAATCCTTTGCCAATTTAGCAAAAACCTGTCTTTAAAAATAAGAATGGTAGGAACGTAGGATTGAGCACTTGTCTAGCATGTGTAAGTGTCCTGGTGTCCATTGGCCAGCACTGAAAAAAAGCAAAAAAAAAAAAACCAACCAAAAAGCCTGCCTATTTTAGATTCTAGATAGACTCAATACAAATCTTGGAGAGGCACTTTGCTTTGTCTAAACCTTTATATACCACCAGGTGATGAACAACACTTCAGTTGAAAACAATACTTTTGATTAAAAACACTTCTCACTGAAAAATACTTTTTAAAAAAATCAAGAAAACAAGAATTACTAGAAATCCTTTATAGTTTCAAAATGGTAAGTAGTTAACTGAACATTACTAAAACTCAGGCTTAATCCCTGTTGTTAGAAGTGCACTGGTACACTTTCCTAAAAAAGAATGTTAGAGCTTTTTCAAAGTGTTTTGCTTGGTAACAAGCTTATACTATTTAGCAATAGGTGCTAAGCATAAACATTTCTTGAAATTAGAAAATCTTATTCAAATAATTTATCTCTGACCTTCAAAGTTTTTAAAACATAATCCCTTTTGAGTCAAATATAGATGACAATAATATTTGTATTTCATATTGCAGTTATAGGATTGGATGGGATAATTCATGTAAATTTATGGGGCATCAAGCAAATGATAAAAGAACTATCACTAATTATGATGTTTTTATTATTATTCACTGTTATGGCATCATAAAGCTAACATCCTACACCCTAATTCTTTTTTTTCTAATACTAAAGTCTTTCATTCATTCACTCATTTTATTTACTCATTTATTTATTTATTTGGTACAGGGTCTCTCACAAAGCTTTGACTTGTAGTGATCCTCCTGTCTCGGACTCCCCAGCACTGGGATTACAGGCGTGCCACCTTGCCCAGTTTTGGTGGTTGGCACAGTGCACGCAGGGTTCTGGGGTTGACACAGCATTAGGTACCAGGGATCAAACTTGGGTCCTTGCTCCTGCCAGGCAGGTGCTTAAGACTGCCAAGCTACTGTCCCAGCCCCTTAAACCCTAACTCTTACAAAATATCCTAAAAATTGAAGACATGGGTAACTTGAGAAAGTGACTGTTAACGTATACAACTACATAAATACTTAAAAACAATAAAATTCTTACTGGGCTTTGACTTAGTGAAATTCAATTGTACCTGTGATAGTTTAAGTCTAAAATGCACCCCAAATGTGTCATGTTCAAAGCTGGGGCTTTTGGAAGCTGCTTAGATGATGAGGGTGCTATATTCATCAGTGGATTTTACTCAAACTGTGAACTAAAATAAACTTCTCCTTTAAGTTGTGGGTATCAAGTATTTTGTTCCAGAAGCAGGAAAGCTAATTCAACAAATTGGTCCTGAGAGTACAGTCACTGCTATGACTGTACCTGACCAAGTGTGGTTTAGAAACTTATGGATTTGTGGGAGGAATTTGGAAAGTTTTGAAAAGGCTATCTAGAGAACCCCAGAAGGTTGTGAGCAGTGCTTTATGTGCAACACTGATCAGAGCTCAGAAGGCCAGAATGCTTACAGGAATGTAGACAACAAAGGCCAGGCTCCCATTTCAGTCGGAAACAAAGACTCTATTAGTAGTTAGAATAGAGGCTCTGCAGAAAATCTGTCAACATTTTGCTCATGTCCTGAGAATTTCCTGAGATTCTGGAAGTTGGATTAAGGATGGTAGAATAATCTGGGGAAGGAAATTTCAAGGCTGCCCAACATCCAAGCTGTTGCATGGATATTGCCATTTGCTATTTACCCATATCTGGAGTAATAATCAGGAACAAATGGCAGAGCTTCGTGATTTAAAAAGTTTGCAGAAGCCTAAGTTGGGGCAAAGGAAAACATGGTTGCTGAAAAAAGATTAGTGAAGTATTTTGTACAGGGACAAGGAGAACGATGTCTTGAGGGCATCTCACGAATTAGTAAAACCTCACTTGTCATAGGCTTGGATGTGGAAAGTGCAACCTCTTCCTTGAGAAGAGCCCTAGACATCCCAATGTAAACAGCCATCCAGCGAATTGGTTCCTTGGGATTTATGTCATGGTATTCAGCTATTCAGGTTCTCAGAGGCTATTGCAGCCATAGTCCTGGGGAGCCTGGATATTGCTTAAGGGGGCCTGGTTATAGCAGACTTTGGCCTCATGCACTGGTGCTGTTTTTTCAGACATATAGAATGTAAGAGTTATGGGCTCACAAAAGCTTCCACCCACATGTCAATAAAAGTTCTTGGAGGCCAGGCAAAAATGTGTGATAGCGTGATAGTTCCTCCCAAGAATCCATGACAGAGTACTGGGTAAAGCTGTGAGAGAGAAGTTACGGTACAAAGAAGATTCTGGAAGTTGGAGATGCCAGGAACGTGGAATATGTGCTGAAGAAAATCACAGGCATTGAGTAGAACTACCCCAAGAGAAAAGCCATTTGAGTTGCAACCAGCAAAGCCTTAGGCGTAGGGCTACCAAAGCCCTTTAAAGTTTTCATCTTATCACACCCTGGCCTGGGTGCTGGACAGGCAGCCACACTGATTAATGTTTATCCTGCTGTTTTTCTATCTTACTTTGGGTCTGGTTCCTATCTAACCCCCTGGTCTTATACTTCAGAATGGGAGTGTTTACCTTGTGCCAAACTTTTTTTTTTTTATTTTTAAAGGGAAATACAACAGTTTGCTTAGTCTCAGAGGAGACTTTGGAGTTGGACTTTCTAATTATGCTGGAACTATGAAGACTCTGACAACTCTTGAAGATGGAAAACATGTATTCTGCATAATATGATGAACAAAAGCCTTTGGAGAGCCAGGGGTCGAATGTTATGTTTTGGATCAAAAAATGTCCCCTAGAAGTTCCACATTCAGAGGTGGGGCTTTTGGAAGATGACTAAGTCACAGGGGTGTTATGATCCATTTGCCGAGTTCATAAGTGAAAGCAGGGTTAGGAAGTGGGGCCTGGTCAAAAGAGACAGATTCCGAGGGGTATGACTTGGCAGGGCACATTCTCCCCAGCTCCTCCCTTCTCTGATTCCTGGTCTGCTTACCATGTAATGAACCATTTTTTTTTCTGTCATACTATTTTTTATCTTGGAGACAGCTGACCAGGGACTAAATCCACTCAAATTGAGCCAAAATTAACTCCTCCTTTAACTTGTCAAACATGGTGCCCCAGCAAGTGTCTTAGTCAATTTCTCATCATAAGACACAATGCACCACCTGCCACCCAGAACTTAGAGGAGAGGTTTACTTTAGCTCAGTCTATAGAGATTTCAGTCCACAGTCTACTGGCTCCAAGGCTGGATAGCATGAGTGAGAGCAACAGTGGAGGAAAAGCTGCTCACACCACGGCAGCCAGAAATCAGCGGCAAGAGGCAAGGCAGAGAGCAAGATATACCCTCTCAAGACATGCTGCCAGTGAGCCACTTCTAATAAGGTCACCTCCGACATCAGTCCAGCACTCCAATATCCAATTGCCTTCTACAAGCCCCACCTCTGAGTACATGAGAGAGGCCATCCAGACATAAAGCAAAACACATACTTGTTTTCATTTCTTAAATGTAAGGTACTGCTGTTACAGAGCAAATAAACAATTAACTCTAGTCTCATTCTAGTGCACATCTTGTTGAACTATGAATTCTTGAAGAATTTCAAGTAGGTATCTTACAAAACTCTTTCAAGAACATTTTTCTTATAGAGTGTGAGGATGACTTTAAAAATTGTACTTGGAAGGGCCAGCCAGATAGCTCAGCAGACTAAAGCACAGCAGCTGGGGTTCAATCCCTAGCATGCAGTGCTGGCCCCGCCCCTGGGGCACACTGAGACTGCAACTGAGACTGGGCATGGTGGTGCACACCTATAATCCCAGCACTTGGGAGGCTGAAAATAGGAGCATCACTACAAGTCCAATCTACATAGTGAGACCCTGTATCAAGCACATTAAAAAAAAATTGTACTTGAGGCTGGGACTGTAGCTCAACAGTATTTACCTATGGTATGTGACACCCTGAGTTCAATCCCTAGCCCTGCAAAAAAATACAAATCTTTAAAAACTATACTTGAAAGATATTTCTCAGGAAGTGGATTTAGTAATTTATGAAGAACTAGAATGAATTCCCACATTCAGAATATTAAAAGGAAGTCTACAATATATGGAAGCAGCTGTTAATATTTATTAAAGAAACTTTTTCCTTTTTTGTGGAACTGGGGATTGAACTCAGGCCCTTGCGCTTGCCAGAGAAGCACTTATTCTACTGAGCACTATTCTACCTCCCCCGACCCAGAAACATTTTATTTTTAGGAAAAAAAAGAAAGAAACTTTACTTGGAGACTGGAAAGAAAACCAGGAATTTCCTTTTTCAGTGAGTTATGCAGGCAAGGCTATTATGCTAAGTGCTAGCAAAGTTTTCATTTCTATTTTATTTTATTTTTTTGTGGCCAGCTCAGCCCACCCTGGGGGTGGGGCTAGCATAGCATGTGGTGCCAGGGATCAAACTACGGTCCCTGCGCTTGCCTAAGCTTACCTAAGCAGGCACTTTAGACTGCTGAGATCTATCTTGCCAGCCCTTCATTTCTCTTTTAAATCATTTTTAATTCCTATGTAAAGCCCTATTTAAAAAGAAGAGAGAAAAAATAGGAAATAACAAATCCAACAATAATCATAATTTAGGAGACAATTTTTAGATCAACGTTAAGCATACAAACATCTGGAAGAAACTCCAGGCCAGACAAAAATGTGTTACAGCCCATTGTGAGAAATGGCAGGAATTTATATAAGGCTGACATATTATCTTTAACAACTAAAGTTAGATTTATGTACTTATTATTTCTCCAATGATTTATACAAATATAGGTTAAAGATGCAGAGGTTTAAAATTAAGAAATAAATGTTATCTCAAACTGAAAATAAAGCATCGCAATTTATGAAAAAATGTTATCTCTAGCTATCAACATAGTACTGTGTCTTGGAAGATACTTAACAGATGCTTGTGAATGAATAAACAAAATACTGTTAAAGACTGTTCTGTTACTGCATTTTTGTTTGTAAATTATGTAAAATGCGTACATGGTTCCAAAGCCAAAGCTATAAACATGAGCCTTTCAGGAGTATCTGATTTTCACCATTCTTGCCTCCTTTGGGCTTCACTTGCCTCTTTAAATCACTAGTTCCAATATTATTACCTATTCTTTATTTCCTTTGGGATTCTCACAGTTTCTTATGCAAAAAAATATACACTTTATAAACTCATCTGTACCTTGTTTTCTTCCACTGAATGTATACTGGATACCACACTGTAGTAACACAGTAAAAGCTTTTTTCTTTTTACAGCTATGATGCATTTTTAACCAGGAAAGTTATTTCAGTTTCAAGTTTTTGTTATTAAAAAGTATGTCATAAAATTATAGCTTTACATGTATGTCAGTTTATTTTTGAGACAGATTCCTCAAAATTGTTATTTCTTAGTCAAAAAAATTGTTCACAAATTCTTCTCAATGATTGTACCATTTGCATTCTCATCAGCAAAATATGGAGATGTCTATTTCCCAAAGATTAATAACCAACAGGCAACTTATGCATCCCTGAAATTCTGAGTATGAATTAGATTTGATTTCCCCTGTGCAGGGCTTTCCCCGACCTCTGTGACATACCATCTGTTTCACTGTTGACAAGCTATATATAACATGCTCAGGACAGATTTCAAATGGGTCTTCTATAAAAATCAATTGTAATGTCAAATATTAAATTCATCAAAGCTAAGTGCTACAGGACAGTCAGTCTGGCATTTTGCCTTTCACAATGATACACTGACGTTGCAGGTCCTTTATTTCTTTTCCTTCTTTCCTGATGAAATGATTCAGCCTCAAGCATTCAAAGGGCTCTACAAAACTCCAGTGCAAGTTCAAGTTTCCTATTATCATTAACATTAAATTTTATTCTTAAGTCTTTCTGCCACTTCAAATTGATCAATTTTCTCAAGTACCCACTGAAAGCCCTTCAATTATCACTGGATTCTTTTCTATGTCTCTTTTACTTAAGTAATCACCAAGATTTCTTACAGAGTTTTCACTTAAAAAGTTTTTGCCTTTTATGGCATTTCAACTCTAGTTCTTGTGTTGATTGTCTGGTATATTCCCTTGATCAGCCTCCTGGCTCCATTTAGTCTCCTCTCTTATACGTATACTATGTACATTAT